AAACTCGCCAGAAGACTTAGGTCTTTGTGTGACCACGAGATGGCTGGGATGCCGGCCAAAGACAAATTGCAGGTAATTCGTGATAAAGTGCAGAAGCAGCTTGTAGACGCGTATGAGGCAAGCCGTCAACGCTACGACAAACGATCCCGCACGCTAATCGCCAAGCCTGGACAAGAAGTCTTCCGCAGGAACTTCGTCTTGAGCGACTTTGGCAAGGCGTTCAACGCAAAGTTCGCCCGAAAGTTCCTGAAGGCGAGGGTGGTCAAATCCGTTGGCGGTAACGCCTATTTGCAGGAAGATCTGCAGGGTCGCAGTCTGGGGGTGTACCATGCCAAGGACATCCGGCTGTGATCTACAACGGGTACACAAAGTATATATACAAACGCATGAAAACCAAACATCAATACTTCCCGCCAAGCGTGGGCCCCGCGTAGGGCGCCGTACGAACTGCTCGGATTCTTGGCCTCCTCCAAAGCTACCAAGCATTTCTTCGTTCCGCAAAACCTCGTTGTAGCACCTCTCGAAATCCTTGGTTGATGTTGCAGTTGGAGTCGATTACGGGAGGGCCGCTATCGATAGTTTAGAACAGGTGGCGAAATTTAGAGCAGCGCACTCTTTTTTGGCCAGGGGCAAGTTGTCTACTTACCTATTATGAAGAATGTTCCTGGTAGGGATTTCTCTTAGATGGCCTTGGAGATGTCCAATGACCCATCTTCGAGAGAGCCTGGGGAAAGATGGTAGGGAACAACGGCGTGCAAGAAACGGATCACCGTTTAGTTGTGCCCAGTAAAACTTGAGCAACGGACGTAGTGGAAGAAATTATTTGTGGTTAAGGTCATTAAAGTGAGTTAGTTTTTTTGTCGTGATAAGTTCACATATATAAATGTTTTTTGTGTTGTCTAGGAAAACCGGGGTTCCAGTATAAAGGGCCCCGGGTATTTTTTTTTTGGGAAACACAAATACATTTTTCTGGAGGAAACCCACATTTTTTGAGGAATTCTTATTTTTTTCTTTGAAGAAAACATAAACTTTTTGTGGAGCAGCTCTTTTTTTATTTCAATAATAAAGGAATTATGTCTAAAAAGCGACGAGAATAATGTAAAGGTGCATAAGAAGGAAAAAGAAAATAGCCAAAACTATAACAAATTTGGTCGAGAGCCGTAGCAAGTGGAGAAAATCGTTTGCTCTGCTTTCATCTTGCTATAACTTTTCTACTCTCGCTATGCGTAGCCGTAGCACAAAAAAATTTTTTTGCTATAGCTATAGTTCGGACTCGATGAAACTCCGAGCAGAGCAGAGCAGGCAATTTTTCGTTGTTCGGCTATGGCTCTGCTACGGCTCTCGTCAAAGTGATAGCGGTAGCAATAGCAAAACGAAATACTACGGGAGCAGTGTAGCTTTTTAAACGCTGGGTAACACACGAGGACGTGTGATTCGTCAGGAAGGTCGTGTCGGATCAAATGAAACGGGGCCTACTTTGTTCTCTTGGTCAGGACAGGTGAAGCGGGGCCTTCTTTAATGTGAAGCAGGGACTATTAAAAAAGAAAGTTAGAAATTGAGTGAAAGCATGGCAGAGCAGGACAGATTTAGACTGCTGCCAAGTGAGGTCTGTTCGTTAAGCGCTGACATACAAGTTAACACCGCCCAAGCGCCCCCCTTCTCCTCATCGCCTCTCGACCCGGATACCAGACACCACGACTCAACCAACTTGACGACCAGCAGAGACGCAGCAGAAACCAAACGACAGCGGCAAAACGACAGTGTAACGACAGAACGCCAGAATTGCAACGGCAGTAACGTGAGAATGGAGGAGCAGTGACCGCCTCTAGCTGCCTCAGCAATAGCTGCCGCTACCCCTTCCAATCGCCGCGGCTAATCGAGTATCTTCCGAAGTTTAGCAACACGTCAGCCCAAATATCCGGAAGCGCTGCTATCAGCAGCGCGACAATGGAAGGGCACTGACCGATCGCTAGCTGTCTCAACCATACCCCAGCCCACAAACGGAAATGCAACGTTAGCACCTGGAGTATGGCAACACTTTGGCCCAGAACCGATGTTGTCAGCATCGAATTGCGGCAACCGCTCTGCCAGCTTATGCAGTCAACAAGCCATGCTAATTATATTTTAAGATCACTTCTATTTGTACCCCCAAAGCAGCAAGTTGACGATTGGTGCGCGAATAAACGATTTATAACGTTAAAGCTCATATTGTTTAATTTAAACTCATACAACAAAAATTCAAGACATAGAAGGAAGGACGAAGGAAGCAAGGATCACAAGGATGCAGATACCGCTCATTAGGTAATAGGGGAATACTTCCCCTACTGGTCATGTCAGGCCATAACTACTGGTCATGTCTGGCCATAACTTACATGTTAGAAAGAGAGGACTAACAATGTATAAGAATTGAGTAGAAATTAGAAATTTAGAAAGAAGACTCTTGAGAAGTCACTGACTTGGTCAGTTCAGAAAGCGCCTGGCAATCGAACAGAACTTGCTGCTGAAGATTCTAGTTAAAGAAATGGAAAAGACAAACGACCCTCCGACATATACATGAACTTACCTGAAGTATTAAAGACGAGTTTATAATGATGATGAATTGCTAGACCTTTTTCTGTGGGGGAGATGGAGTTAAGTTAGTCGCCTGGAGTGACTTGGTGACCCATTATGGGGGATGCGGGGATTATACTTACATAGCATCCTAGGTTGGGTGGGTACGCAGTACCCGATGGCCACCAAAGATCGAAATTTCCGCCGCCTTGTAATTAAATGTTTACGTTTTTGGGTTTGCTTACATTTTTGTTGGTGATCGCAGAGAGTTTAGTGTTGTGAGACGACCGTAATCGATGTTTGTATCTTATCTTGTCGGACTGCGGGCATTGGGGAGAACTTGGCCCAAATGAGATCGCTGAGCTAGAGGCGCTGCCCACCCAAGAAAGCAGTTCGTAACATAGTGTGGCCCAATTAAAAAAAAAATATATATACATGGTCGAGGAGACGACGTCTGGCGAGGAGCTGACTTAGTTGGCCAGTCCTTCGGAAAGGTGGCTTGCAATTAAGTTGCAATTGCATCGGGATGGGGGACTGGCGAACTAAGGAGAAGCTGAGGAGAACGAGAGGCTTGTCCGGAATTATCCTGGCCAATTGCTCTCGGTCTCCGGTAAAACTATAAAGCTGTGATACATAAACAAATAGTCTCATTATCTTTGTCGTTTTTTTTGTCACATTAATTTATTGATTTATATATATTTTTTTTTGTTGTCTGGATTCGAGGTTGGATTCCTTGGTTTTCTTCCTCCTGTGGGTTTCCAATTTCCTGTCGGTTTGCCAACGTAATTGGTGCTCGTGGCCCATAGTACCACACGCGATGCACGAGTTCCTCGATTTGCGATGGAAACTGCAGATGAGGAGGAAGACCAACAGCAGTCCAGAAGCAGCTGGAGTCCTTAACTGGCAGCTATCACTTAAAGTGATAGCTAGACCAGTTGACGAGCGGCTGTATAGGGGACGGAAATTGGGATGATTTTTGGCGATGCGTAGTACAATGGTCGGAAGTCCACCGGCGACAAATAATTCCATCTCCCCACGGTAGTCCTGGAATATAAACAGAGAAAAAGAGATTAGTTGATCTGGTGGATTGTAAAGATTAGCTAGTTAAATTTTTGGGTATTGGGTTTTAATTATTTCAGGATTTATTTATTTGTTGGTTTCAAAAATTTATTTCATTATTTATTTAGATAGTTACTTTGTTATTTATATATTTATTCCGTCATTTATTTATTTATTTATTATTTCGTTATTTATCTACTCATTTAGTGCGTACTCTATTTCGTTATTTATTTATTCATATTTTTAATATTAATTCTTGTGTTGGTGTTATTTCGCGTGATTTATAAATTTTTTTTGTGAGGTAGTAAAAATTTATATAATTAAATATGTCTAAAGAAAAAAGAGCTGGGGATAGACACGACCACCAGTTGAGGTCGATGGGTCCTCCTGGAGGAGATGATGACGCGCTTTGGTCTACGGATGTAGAGGGTGCTGCAGGGGGAGAGCGCGTATCGATGGCTGGAGGGTTGCCGAGGACGCCGGTGGAGCGGTTCCGGGAACGGATAGGCATCACGAATCCCGTCGAGCCAAGACAGCTGGATTTTACAAACGTCGGTCTGGAGGAGAAGTCCGCGGCGAACTTGAGGGTCGCGCAGGCGGCGGAAATGTATAGGAAAGCGCAGGAGGCCGGATTCAGCCAGTCGTTGAAATCCGAAGCGGTTTCCTCGAAATGATCAACGACGCGATCAGGCCGGCAAAACCTCTGCCTCTTCCGGCGACACAGCAGCAAACGGATCGGCAGCAACAGCCAGCAGCAGCAGAAGCGTCAGCACAGCAGAGACAGGGCGCGATTCCTAAGGGCAGCAAACCGTGTCGTCCGCCTCCACTGGTTCCGCCAAAGCCACAGCGAAGAGCTGAGACAACGTCGGAGTGGACCAGCAGCAGTTTGGATTATCCGCTGGAGGTCGAGCAGCACAGGCGGCAGGACAGCCATGGGCGAGGCTGGCGCGTCGAGGACCACAGGGCCGGAGAGTATCCTGACGAGCATCGGATGTACGCCAACGTGGGCACTGGGTGCAGCAGCCGTTATCCAAAGGTGGATCGATGGAACGTCTCGTTCGGTGGAGACGACGAGAGGAATTCGGTGGAGGATTTCGTTTTCCGAATTGAATTCCTGCAGCGACAGCACCAGTGTCCAATGCAAGAGGTTCTGCGACATTTCCACGTCTTCCTCACCGGCCGAGCCAAGGAGTGGTATTGGGTCCATGTGCGACAGTCCAGAGTCGACAGTTGGCTGCAGCTGCGCCGAGCCCTTATCGACCGATTTAGAGGGCACCAGACCGAGCATGACCGGATGCACGAGCTCCTGCAGCGGGAACAGCAGCCGGGAGAGACGGTGTAGGACTTCATCCACTGTATGCAGCAGCTCGCCTCACGCCTAAAAAAAACCAATGCCGGAGCGGCAGTTGGTGAAGGTGGTTAAAAAAGGCTTAAGGGATGGCGTTGCGCGCTTTGTCTACGCGATGGAAATATTTACCGTGGACGAATTGCGGCAGGAGTGCATAGAGGTGGAACGCAGTTTCGGTCGCCGAGGACGCACCTCGTACCAGCCACCATTGCGTCATCCGGCAGGGGATAGACCCAGAGTGGCCGAAGCGTGCGTACCGGAGCCTCAGGAAGATTCCTTCGACGTGGATGAAATGCGTGGACGACCTCGAAATCCATTCCGGACGGGTTGCTGGAACTGCGGTGCCGCTGATCACGGATTCCGTGATTGCGAGTCCGTGGATCGCAAGCTGTTTTGCTACAGATGTGGCCGACCAGACACAGTCTTGCCAAAGTGTCCCGACTGCGCGGAAAACGACAGACTGGGCGATCCGAAGGCAGGAGGGAATCGTCCAGAGAGGAATCCTGCGAAGTAGTGCCTAAGAAGAACAGAATAGTTAGCACACCGAGTGGCTTTATGGTTAATCTTAGGTATTTACCTGCGGAGGAGAGGATGCGTCGCTTTCTGGAAGCTCGAAACCGAATTTTCGCAGAGCACCAGCTTAGCGGCATGCGAATGGTTTCTCGCAGGGTCCAGAAGGCGAGGGAACGATTTAAGATCCGGGGAACCCGACGACGAGAAGTGGTGGCGGCAGTAAAACGCGTTGACTCACGTGATCCACGACCTTTCGCGAACGTCAAGGTTTTTGGCCAGCCAATCACCGGCTTGCTGGACACGGGTGCCAGTGTCAGCTTGCTAGGAAAAGGTTGCAGAGGTCGTGTAGAGGCGTTGGGCGTGGCTGTCCAGCCCTATTTGTCGAAGGTGACGACGGCTGCTGGAGAAGATCGGTCGATTATCGGACGAGTTGAGCTGCCTGTGGAGTACAAAAGGATGAGCAAGGTGATAACATTTTATCTCTGCCCATACCTAGAACAGGAAGCGTACTTTGGAGTCGATTTTTGGCGAACGTTTGGTCTTGCTCCAGCAGTCGTAGGAGTGCCCGTACCCAGCGGTGGAAAGAAAGCGGAGGAAATCCATGCCAGGCAGATGGAGCACTACACCGAACAGGAAGACGAGGACGAGACGAAGAAGGATCCCGAGTCATGGAGCCTTTCTGTGGAGGAGAAGGAGGCTTTAGAGAAAGTCAAAGGGGAGTTTCTTACCTTCGAGCGAGACGGTCTTGGCACTACCAGCCTGAAGCGACACTCCATCGAATTGGTTGAAGGAGCCCGAGTGTTCAAGGACCGGCCCTATCCCATGTCTCCAGCGAAGCAGAAAGTGGTCGAGGACGAGATCGACAAGATGCTCGAGCTGGGAGTCATCGAGGAGAGTAGGAGCCCCTGGAGTAATCGCACGACGGTAGTGTCGAAGCCCGAGAAAGATCGTTTTTGTCTAGATGGCAGGAAGCTCAATGCCTTGACAGTGAAGGACGCATATCCCCTGCCCAGCATCGATGGCATCCTTTCGCGAATTGACCAGACCCATTATATCTCCAGCGTAGATCTGAAGTTTGCTTTTTGGCAGATCGAGCTCGATGACCGCAGCAAGGAGTACACCGCATTCACAGTCCCAGGCAGGCCGTTGTATCATTTCCGAATGATGCCTTTCGGATTGTGCAACGCAGCGCAACGTCTGGTGCGGCTGATGGACAGGGTGATTCCAGCGGAGCTGAGAACCAACGTTTTCGTTTATCTCGACGAACTGCTCATCCTGGTCCAGATTTCCAGACCCATTTAAAATATTTGCTTCGGGTAGCGCAAAGTCTAAAATCAGCAGGGTTAACAGTTGGGCTGAAGAAGTCCAAGTTCTGCTTTAAAGCATTGACTTACCTTGGTTTCGTAGTTGGAGGTGGAACGCTGCGAATGGACCCTCGACGTGTTTCCGCGATCCAGAAGATTCCTTACCCAACGTTCATGAAGGAAGTGCGAGCTTTCCTTGGCACAGCGGGATGGTATCGTCGCTTCGTCAGCAATTTCGCTACGCTAGTGGCTCCTCTTACCGAGTCCTTGAAGAAGTCGGGAAACCTCAAGTTTTCTTTGAGTCCCAGCGCCAAGCAGGCGTTTGACGACCTGAAGTTGACCCTGACGATTGCGCCAGTCCTGGTTCACGCGGATTTTAAGAAACATTTCTTTATCCAATGCGATGCCTCCCACGTCAGAGTAGGCGCAGTGCTGTTTCAGCGGAACCAGGACGGGGCAGAACAGCCGATCGCTTTCTTCTCGGCCAAAATGAACAGACACAAGGTCAACTACACGGTGACGGAAAAGGAGTGCCTAGCAGCCATCCTAGCCATTCGGAAATAAAGGCCGTATGTGGAAGGGATGCCGTTTACGTGCATCACTGATCACGCTAGTCTGATATGGCTAATGACAATGAAGGATCTATCCGGACGGCTTGCCAGATGGTCTCTGCAGCTGCAGGGCTACAATTTCAACATTGAGCATCGCAAGGGCAGTGAGAACGTGGTTGCCGATACGCTGTCTCGATGCGTTGATGAAGTCCGGATCGATCCTACAGAGTTGTTGGGTTTCGAGACCACGGAGTTTGCTGCGGAGGATTACGTGGAGTTATCTGGATCTTCATCGTGGTAGACCATTTTACCAAGTATATCTTCCTCAAAGCCATGCGAACCGCGACAGTGCCGAATGTAATCGATTTTCTAGTGAACGAAATTTTTTATAAATTTGGGGTGCCAGAAACGATCCATTCGGACAATGAGAAACAATTCACCTCGAAGGCATTCGAAGAGCTGATGGATGGTTTTGGCATTCGCCACATCCGGACTCCGGTATACTCACCCCAGAGTAACGCAGCGGAGAGAGTAAATCGAAACGTGCTAGCTGCGATTCGGAGCTACCTGGACGAGGACCATCGTGAGTGGGACGTGCACCTGCCGGAGATCGAAGTGGCCATCCGGAACTCTGTCCACTCGGCTACGGGAGAGGCACCGTTTTTCACTGTTTTCGGACATCACATGTTTCTCAACGGCGCCTGCTACAAACTCGCCAGAAGACTTAGGTCTTTGCGTGACCACGAGATGGCTGGGATGCCGGCCAAAGACAAATTGCAGGTAATTCGTGATAAAGTGCAGAAGCAGCTTGTAGACGCGTATGAGGCAAGCCGTCAACGCTAAGCCAAGCCTGGACAAGAAGTCTTCCGCAGGAACTTCGTCTTGAGCGACTTTGGCAAGGCGTTCAACGCAAAGTTCGCCCGAAAGTTCCTGAAGGCAAGGGTGGTCAAATCCGTTGGCGGTAACGTCTATTTGCAGGAAGATCTGCAGGGTCGCAGTCTGGGGGTGTACCATGCCAAGGACATCCGGCTGTGATCTACAACGGGTACACAAAGTATATATACAAACGCATGAAAACCAAACATCAATACTTCCCGCCAAGCGTGGGCCCCGCGTAGGGCGCCGTACGAACTGCTCGGATTCTTGGCCTCCTCCAAAGCTACCAAGCATTTCTTCGTTCCGCAAAACCTCGTTGTAGCACCTCTCGAAATCCTTGGTTGATGTTGCAGTTGGAGTCGATTACGGGAGGGCCGCTATCGATAGTTTAGAACAGGTGGCGAAATTTAGAGCAGCGCCCTCTTTTTGGTCAGGGGCAAGTTGTCTACTTACCTATTATGTAGAATGTTCCTGGTAGGGATTTCTCTTAGCTGGCCTTGGAGATGTCCAATGACCCATCTTCGAGAGAGCCTGGGGAAAGATGGTAGGGAACAACGGCGTGCAAGAAACGGATCACCGTTTAGTTGTGCCCAGTAAAACTTGAGCAACGGACGTAGTGGAAGAAATTATTTGTGGTTGAGGTCATTATAGTGAGTTATTTTTTTTTTTGTCGTGATAGGTTCACATATATAAATGTTTTTTGTGTTGTCTAGGAAAACTGGGGTTCCAGTATAAAGGGCCCCGGGTATTTTTTTTGGAGAAACATAAATACATTTTTCTGGAGGAAACCCACATTTTTTGAGGAATTCTTATTTTTTTCTTCGAAGAAAACATAAACTTTTTGTGGAGCAGCCCTTTTTTTTTTTGTTGGAAAATATAAATATTTTAGAGAGGCCACTGTTTTTCGATCAACACAGTTAATATCTGAAGAACACCATTTTTCTGGAGGAACCCATATATATTTTTGAAGAAATTATAACCTTTTCGGAGGGAACACAACTACGAAGTTTTCTGAGGAGAACGTGCATTTGGAGGAACATTTTTGAAGAACCACGGCATCAAAGCCCAAGTTGACCCTCTAGGACTCCAAATCTCCGGTGAGTCCGTTCCGTGTGGGGGTGCCTCCGATGGTGGCCAACTTATTCGCGAACGGCTGATACCACGAGGTTGGCCAGCCAGTCTCTATACGCCTCCAAGTTCCTTGTAGTGCAATACTCTGGTGGGCTGAGCCCACCCACCACTTCCTGAAATTGAGAAAAATCAATTAATAAAATGTGTAGTTTTTAAGAATTTAAATACCTTGTATTGTTAAGTCTATTGTGCGTTCGTCCAAAGATTCACCCTTGACCGACGGTTGCTAAAATAAAAGGGTCGCGATTAATTAGGATGAAGGAATAGTGTGTGTAAATCTCCCATACCTTTCGGCGTCCCTTCTTTTCCCTTGGAGCTTCTCAGGATTAGGTGACCTAAATTTAAGCCGCGTAAAACAAGAGAGTTCTGCCTATACAATTCCTTAGTTCTTGAATTTAGCTTTGACCGCTAAATACTTATACGGCGGTTGAGAGGTAATTCTAGGGCCTAATGAACAAATAGATTTTGATTAAATTAATTAGAAGCGAAATGTTATATATATGTCGGATCAAATGAAACGGGGCCTACTTTGTTCTCTTGGTCAGGACAGGTGAAGCGGGGCCTTCTTTAATGTGAAGCAGGGACTATTAAAAAAGGAAGTTAGAAATTGAGTGAAAGCATGGCAGAGCAGGACAGATTTAGACTGCTGCCAAGTGAGGTCTGTTCGTTAAGCGCTGACATACATGTTAGAAAGAGAGGACTAACAATGTATAAGAATTGAGTAGAAATTAGAAATTTGGAAAGAAGACTCTTGAGAAGTCACTGACTTGGTCAGTCAGAAAGCGCCTGGCAATCGAACAGAACTTGCTGCTGAGGATTCTAGTTAACCCTTTCATGCCCACTGTTGCCTATAGGCAACATTGACTTTACATTTAAATTTCGGGTACAATTAAAAATTTTTGTGATTTTTTTTTTTTTATGGGGAGTTCCTCTTATTAATGTTCTTTAATTTTTGGTAGTTTTTGCGAATGCAGGTGCAGCGTGTGCTGAGTTATCGTTAATGCTTCGATACGACCACAGCTGCCGAAAAATTTTACCAAAAAGTGCTCGTGAAAAGGGAATTAAAAGGGATTAAAAGGGATGATTAATAAAATATCACAAGAGGAATATCAAAGCTGTGATGAACAGATGAATTCTTT